TGACACAAAAATTTTTTACCCTGTCACTGTACTAGATTTATCATATCATAGTGATACAGTCATACAAACATCAAAAATGAGCCGGCTAAATTCGCACGAGCTACAAAGAGGACACTAGAATGGATCATAAGCAACGTTATAGGTTACCTAAATCCAAGATGGCGTCTAGTGACCGAAGGTTTACGTTTGACATCGTGCATTTGCTGCGTTGTGGAAACGAGCTTAATGAGGAACTTTGCTGCAGATTTATCTTTACAAATCTTCAACAATCACTAGATCTCTAGGTAAGGTGTGATTAGAAATTCTAGTCGCCAATTTCGCGACTAATTTTCAGGATTTGGTTGCCAAAGTGAAAAATGTAGTCGCACTGGCGCCTGTATTAGGCGCAATTTTACACCCTGGTTTAGGTGCAAACTTGATGTCGCTTAGCAATCTCAAAATTATTTTAGTGTTTACTTGAATCAACCATAAATGTCACTTAGTAAATTAATGTTTTGATCAAAGGAAACAAATTCATCTTAGTCTCCTTTAAAGTGGTCTACCACGACCATCTTCGAGTCTCTTGGGACCATTTCTACTGTGTTCATCAAAAAGGTAACTCTACAGTGTGTGGTAGCAGTCAAAGCATGGTGCTGGACACATATGCACTTGACAAACTGAGCAGTCATAGAGACAAGATGAGTAGGCAGAAATACAATAAACTACACTAAGAGATTATAAACTGGGCAGTGTATAATCTCAGATAAAAATCTGTTTACTACACAATTTTTTAAAATTTACCCTCTGTGTATAGCTGGATTGGCTTAATTACCTTGTTTGCATTTAGGATCACAACATATTTTGAAATCAGACACATATCCTTGGCAGGTGAGGTCTCTTCTTTCCTTGTCCATTATGCATAGGAAATGATTAACTTTACTCCTAGGGATGAGTTTGCAAGTCCAATTGCAATGATCAGGACTGCACTCTGCATCCAGTTTAGACATAGCCTGGCCATCACAAACGGTGAGCCTTGGTTCGCTTGTCAGTTGACGTTGGCCTCTCTCTAGGTAAACGTACCATCAAAGATATGTTAATAAAAGTAATGGTTTTGGATTTTTCAGTGTCTTTTTATCTGGCACGGGGTTTAGTACAAGGAAATGGATAAAAAGAGAACTGAACTGAGTTTTCTGGTTCATTCAACTCAGAAACATCACAGTTTGCAGTGCTTTAAAAACAAGCCAGCGACCACTGGTGTTCTGCCGGCTATTTTGATTGTATGTCGCCGGCTACTCTGGTCATAACAGTATGCTCGTGACAAACACTCTTGATTATCACAGCCGCCTACTTTTCAAGAGTTGGCTGCCTACTTAAAAACATTTTCAAACCCCTGGGTTTGCAAATAAATACGAATGTGCAGCTTGCTTAAAGTTTGTAAAAATCCTAATTTTAAAAAACAATTTTTTTCATTCCATATCCAGATTTCTTCTGGATCTTGTTTGTAAAGAAACCAGGTTGCCACTCTTTGGATTTGAGGTTTACTGTTAAGAAATCAAAACTCCAAGATTGTCTGGAGTAAAGGTATTAAGGAAGATAGCACTAACACATGGGGTAACAGGTCTTTACAGTCTTTTTTATGGTGTTTCATGGACAAAATGATGACTCGCTCTAATTCAGTAGATGGTGAAGCTCACTAGAGCATGTTTTAAAAGCTTCATCCTGATGAACTCAAGATAACTTCTGTTTGTGTTCTTATGTTGATTTCTCAACCTACCTCTTGGAACCAAGACAGAGTAATTTATGTTCTTCCAGACGGTAGACTGAATGCTGAATACAGAGTTCTCCGACAACCTATCTCAGGGAAGTCTTATTAACTTCATCGCCAGTTACCCAGTACTTGGAAGTGGTGGAGATTTTAGGATTTGGTGGCTGATTTGTAGCCTAGAGATAGAGAAATGATCTACACAAAAAGATGGTGTGATATCTTGTAAGAAGATAAGGAGGGCCGGTTCATGCTTTCTGCCACTTCTGTCTCAAAAATC